CCCCACCATAGACACCTGCGGTCCAGAGTTTTGCAAATATCTCAGCAACGTTGTGGTTGTATTTCGCTTAGTAACCTGCCATGAAAATTACAGAAGGCAGAAAACAAAACGTTAAACATTATCGCATTAGTTTCCTCATCAGAACAATTTAGTTGGGCGTAGGTTTTCCAATTCGAAGTATGAAAAATGTTGCCAGCACATTGTCACAGGCAATCACCAACTTTCGTGGACCGGATGGAAGTTATCCGCTCACAACTAGGATTTTTATACGATAATAGATTTGTGTACCTGCAACGATTCCTGCGATTAGTTGGCTCTTCATAATGCTATCTCATGCGACGACGATAATGTTCAAAAAGCTTAAAGAAAAGATTGCGTGTAAGGCAAAAAATAGATCAGGTTCATACGAATCCACAAAATTGACGAAAAACACGGAAGTTGGGTCGTATGTGAAGAAACTGCATAGGAAGCGATGGACAACATCCGCATGACATTGTAAAGAAGAGTTTAAGTCATTTTGTACAGTATAAGTTTAGCAATCGTAGTCAACCATGAATTCTTCTTTCAAAGAAATCTAAAAAGTATCCTATAGTGGTAAACACTTTAAGTGAGACATCAATTCTCTAACGATAGGACGGGATCGCTCTCTTTCAGTTAATTGTACATAAAAATTCACTTTTTCCATATCTCTGTAAACTATTAGAGTTTTCAAGTTCTTTTTGGCACTGGTTTTCTCGTCTTAGATTTATAAAGAAACCATATTTTCCAAATTCCACAGACCCCATTTTTAAGAACTAGTAACACAGAAAAGATAAACCGACGGCTTAGCATTAGAGAAAACAACACGAGGCCTGACGAGATTCACGAGAGCATCAAACCAATTTCAAACAAGAACTCTAGAAAAGTAGGCCTACTTTTTCGTTTCAACACTGAGTCCGCTTCATCCACAGCCGGAATTAGATCCCATATTTTCGAGCTGTAGTTGAACTCAAGCGTGAATCTGACCACCTCAATGGATGTCGGTTATGATAAAATATGAATAAAACTTCTAGGAGTTGCACATCATGTGAAGGTAGGTCACCCGAAGTGGACCAAATTATTTCATTTGTCATTTTCGACATAGTCGTACTCCATCCCACATATGATCGTGCTTTATTTTTCACTCGATTGGTTCTCTAGTGTACTGATAAGGTAGCCATTTTCAAAACTTGTATATTGCAATTGCTAGTGGAAAGAGGTCTTCGAATCAGTTCTCGGCAGCGAATAGTCATCAGATTTAGGCAGAATGCTCGACTTGTTAAAGATGCTACGCGGGGCTCTTCGTAGATGTCACAGAGCAATACCTCAAACTTGGGTAATTGAACCGTCGATATACGTAAATGCAACACCATTACCACAGAAACAACGACAGGAAGATACTGCCATAAGGACAAGGCAAGCTCAAGATTGTGATGAGCTATAACTACTAGTGAAGTGAGGCTAATAAGGGTACAAGAGTATTAGGATCCCATTACAGCATTAATATACTGATAATGGCAACCTGATAACAGTGACGAGTAGGAGGATTCTGATAATGGCGCCCGCAGTGGCGCGTACAGTGGCCCAAGACGCCGATAGCTTGGAGGACAAAGAGTGATGAGGACATGCCCTGTATTAGGATAAGCTAGAGATCATATCTACAGCTGCTAGATGCACTTTGACATGATCGATGAGGATAGCAAGTTACCCAAGCATCGATGGTGCAACTGACTACGAAGGAGATGAGTCAACTGCCGAACACGGTCAGGCGGCTGGTCTTAGACAACGACATTTTTGCACCGATGGGTGCCACCATTGCCTAAGAGATAACTTGGACCATAAATAGAGCGGCTGAGAACTGAAAAGCTGACTATGGCGGCATAACAGATACACAACATAAGTTGGCCGATCGCTGCCTTGCACTCATGGCGTACATTGCGAGAAGAATGGTACGTGCCACCGATAGCGTTGCAGAGAGAACGGACCAGTTGGTAAACAATAATGAACATTGACAAGAGGAAGAAGATTTGGATTTGGATGAGGTTGCACCGGGCTGATCGGAAGCGTGAAGTAGTAACGGTAAGTTAATGTAGAATTCGCAGTTGCCGTGGAATAATGATGAAATGAAGTTAAGTACAATTCGGAACCGTTTAACTACTACGCTAACCCACATAGGTGACATATGAGACCACCAGGGAATGAACCAAGATCGTAGTTCACGAGGCTATTTATATGCCTCTGGAGAAGGCGGTATTTGGCACAGGTCCAGCATCTTTACCGAGAACATTCGTCGTTTACCGTTCCAAATCCTCTCAAAACCAGAGATCATCTGGCGAAATACGGCTCTCGTAAACATCGTCATGCCCTTTGTATTATTTAACGCATGATAACTTTTGGTCAATAATAACAAACAACAAGTTATTTGCAAAACTTCGGACCTTAGGTGTCTACGGTGGGGAACGAACGCGCTATTGTCCTTTCCGGGGAGTAATGAGTTCGCCACCACACTATGCCCGTCCTTCGTTTCGCCTGTCTCTCAGCTACTTCTATCGATCGCTGCCATTAGCAATCACCCGTCAGCGGGATTATTTCGCAGTACACCCTGCCATTAAAAAGTGTAGGCAGTAAATAAAAACGGTTAAGACAAACAACAAGCTCCGATTGCACAAATAGGTTTGCATAACAAGGCTGTTTATAGCGACCAAAGTTCCTTAGGATGGGATGATAATATTTACGTACTACGACATTTTCAGACGACATGAGAAACAGTGGATATGACCATTACTACAGAAACTTGGGACAGTAGAAAGAAATAGTAACTATTCTGGCAATAGTTGCTATATTGTAATCCTTTCATGAATTCGAGCATTCGTTTGACAGGTAGCTAACCGATTTTGAGAACCCAGTCGTGAGGGTTTTACATGAGGGTTTTACTGGCTACCGCTCAAGTGAGGGCAAACCTCAAGTTTAACTTGAACAATGCCAGTGATGTGTCAAACATTTTGAAACATTTATACATATTAGAATGTCGATCACATGAAAAACCTTTATTAAATTATATACGTGGAGGTGTGAATATAACAGATTACAAATGTTGAACAACCATTGAGTCCCGATTGCTTGGTTCGCTGTTTTTACGAAATTCTAGCGACATATTATACAAAAAAACCAAGAAGGTTTTTTTTCGAAGAAAACCACCACTGGTAGGAAACAAAATCTTCGCATAGCATAAATATTAACAATTAGAAAGCAAACTATTGTAATGCTTCCATTATCTAAGGATTCATCTAGTTGCCTCAACCTCATCAATACTGAAAAGCCGGCTTGGGCGAAGGAATTAAAGCCAGTGAAGATATCGAAACAAAAACAGAAAATAATGTTCCGTGAGGATATTTCTACGGACAAGCGTTAAAATTAATCCACCTTATCATAGAGAATTCAATGCGTTCGTAAGGCAACTCCTACTTAGCAGCATGAAATTGTCAATTCCACAAGCACCTCGTTGATTGCCGAAGTTTGCACATTCAAAGCGAACCTATGGAAAGCAACCATACATTTCGTTCGAGTTTTAGTACAAAAAGTGTTTTTGGAAATAAAATATGTGTGAGAAGAAGGAAAATTTATTTACGAGAGGAAAAAGAGAAAGAACAAGAACAATGTATCCCTGCCTATTTTTCGAAAATTCAGAGAAAGAGCTGAAAGGTCTCCTGAGGCTGATTTAAAAACATGATATGAAGAGATTCCGAAACACACCTCATGAGTATCCCGTGGGCACTGAAGTATGTACCGTCGCCATGTTCGACTACGGTATCCATCCCGTCTTACATAAATATTAAGCGGGCAAGTGTAACCACAACAAACTCGCATCTGTAGCTGGTACATCGGTTTCCACGAATCGAAGGCGACGGTGAACGGCTCTGATGTCGTTGACTGAACAACAAATTCGAATGCTTACATTTTATTTACTGCCCATTATTATTTTCTCATGGCATAGTATGATGTGAAATAGAATTACTATGATGCCGAGATATTTGCAAAACTTCGACCGCGGACTAAATTCGAACTCGCGATTCCCGTTTCAGGGAACTCGAGCCTGGCCTGGGGTCGAATTTTGCAGATATCTCAGCACCATAGTTGTTTTATTTCTCGTAATAAATTAAAATATTATGCATTCGTTTGCTGAAAAGTAAAACACACAATTTATGATTGAATTTAAAAGATATATAGAATTTAACAAGAAACAAAAAATAAACGGGTTCCAGCTAACAATCAATTCATTAAAAGTCAAGAGTCGGATGTTTCGCTTGAAGGGAGCACCGAACAACAAAAGAAACCTTTAACCTGAGATAACAACTTCCTGTAGATGGGAAAAACGCGAAAAAATTAAGAACAAACGGCGACAGTTGTGTTTAAAACTATCTGGGCGCCTTCTTCCGGCCGCTTAAATCAAAATTATCCGAATGCCTTCATCAAATGCATTTACTGTCACGTTTTCGAAAGAAACCCTCTCTCTGTGCTCGAGTTAGCATTAAATTGTATGAAAGGTTTAGGTCAATGTCATGTACCTTATGCGAAAGCGTAGACATTTCCTTTTCGCGTAGAAGAGTTGCAGTGAAACGTTGATTATTTGCTGAGAACACGGCTGTAAATTGTAATTTAGGACAAAGTCACAAAGTAGCAAAAAATCGGTGTTCATACGGAACACAAATAATACTGTGGAAATGCGATCACTTACGAGCTCGATCGATGCGTCGATAGGAACGATCGAACGAGCCTTTCCAATTTGTCCAAAGCTTGGTGGTGAAATAAGCAACAGGGATCTGCAACGTAACAAGGATATATGCAATAGCGATCAACAAAGGAAAACCGATACTCATGCACTGATCATATTCCAGGGAATTAAAACGCAGGCTTAGAATTTGATGCCAACCCACTCGGAGTGAGGAAATGTTCACAACAGGAGAATCTTGTTCGGTACAAGCAATTTTGTAAAAAAGTATCTTGCTATATCAAGTAATTTGAATCTTCGTGAAATCCATGGGTGCAAAAGCTACAGCTTCAAAAACGGTAAAGTATTTGGTACGGTTTTCACAGAATAGATATGGTTTGGCGTAGTACTCCTGTTTTTATAGGGATTAATAGTTATAGAATAATAAGGGAGAGACCTACAGCTTTATAAGAATAATTGTAGAGTGGCAGAAGATGTAATCCCGATTCGAAACCACATAGATTACCTAAACTTTTTCTGCTTGAAATCACATTCCTCAAACGTAGTCAAAGAAGATTAGAGCCGTTTGTAAGAAGCACGCACCTTTTTCAAAGTTACACTCAACAATGACACAGTGATGGGATATCTGTGATTTCATTCTGAAAAGTGTCAACATTAAGATTGATAAACCAACGTTTGTCTTTATTTATTGCGCACTTGTCATCTAGAAGGATACAATAAATCATTATATGTGGTGCAGCCACTTTTTCGTTTATGCGATAGAAACGATATTGCAGAAGAATCAAATTGAAGTTAGAACAATCTAGTAATTAAAAATGAGGAGATTCTATTTAACCAATTTCATACATTTCATCTGTAGCCCTATTCATCACTTCAGTCTGGTTTGCAAGAGACAGAATAGGTATCCATGTTGATCGTATTGGTCCGTGGTTTAATGAAAGCAGTGAAGGATATATTCCTAGGATAACAATAATCGTTGAACGAAGAGTTTGAACAATTTCGCATTACTGTGTGCTAATTTGTAATTGCCGTCATTACAAAGCTTAAGTCCAGTAATACATCAAAAAAAAATTTTATGATGTAGTTTAATGTCTTGAAAGGAAGCAGAGACTCACGAGCCAGTGATACTTTGTTTTGGAAGATCCTCGTTCCCAGAAAGTCTGTCGGTCGGTTTTTCATCGAAATCGCGCCCTATAAAATGAAATCTCGAAAGACGAGTAGGAAATTGAGTCCCTACTACTTTACTCAAAGTAGTTCTGTACTTTCGTGGCAATAGAGCACGTAGTCACGCATGACGCAGAAATTTCAGTGATTAAAGACAAGCATTTTCATAATGCTATATTTCTTTACACTGAAACTTTTTGTATACTCTCTAAAAAAGCCAGAAGCAAAGCCATGAGAATTTCTCGCGTACTCACTTTTCGACCTCCTTACCTGAGCATGCCGCCTGACGTGCTTCTCCATCGAATTGATGTGCTTCCCAAAGTCATCGGCGGGCGTGGCAAATTTCGAGTCGGTAACTGTCTAAAAATATCTGATGAAACCTGTTAAAATACTACGCAAATCTATTAAAAACAGGTCCAAAAAATTGGACTGTATCGACCTGACAAAGTATACGACTGTCGTTAACATTTATACGACGACGTCATCTCTATAGAACTCATACGCGAAAAGGAGATATTGTGGTGAGTACGATCTGTACAGAAGCCATATTCCTTCTGGTGGTTTGTTTAAAAAAAAGTTCGTATATAATGCTGAGATATTTGCAAAACTCCGTACCGCACGCGTATGCGGTGGGGAACGAACGCGCGCTATTGTCTTTTCCGGGGAGTAGCGCATATCACCATCACACCATCCGGGTCCTTCGTGTTGCCTGTCTCTCAGCTAGTTCTATTGATCTTATATTTCGCAACATACCTTGCCATTAATAAGAAAAAGGAAATAAATAAAAGGGTTAGAAAACGTTCTTTAGATATTTCCATGTGATTTCTGTGCGGTTGGTCTCTACGTGACATACTTAGTGGAAACCTCATAGGAAGCGGTGAGTGTGCAAAGCTGTGTTCAAAGTGATTGAAATCTTGGCTTAGAGTTTCTTTGTTTGGTTATGGAGGCATCTGGCCGAGTAGATTGCTATCAACTTGACCTTTCCAGGCTCTGAGGAAGGCGAAACCCGCCGAAACGTCAGCTTAATCGTGAACAAATAACACCTCGCGTTTGCTCAACAAAAATGCGAAGAAAATTACTTGATCAATGCCGAGGTTAATAGAAAGTCGGTCGTGGCAGTTCTTTAGATATTTTACTTAAGGGAGAATTTAAAGTACGTCCAACACTGATGTTATAGTAGTGGTCGTCCATGAAAGACTATTTTCTATACTTAGCGATTAAGAAAAAAACTGTTTCTGGACCAGTGTTTTGACCGCTAATTTGACCTCTAGTTGAGAGATCAACGTAGTTCAGACAAACATCAATCTCATTTTTGAGATTTAACTCAGTCAATATGTTCAATGAAAGCAATTTTACAGAGATTCAATGACAGATAGAGGAAAATAACACCAAACTATACTTGAAAGGATTCCCACGTCCTCTACGGCCAACACCTAAAGATACACATTTGTAGTTCACGTCAACAGCTTATGCTCCTTGATGGATAAAATTCGGGCACAACAGAATGACATTTGCAGAACGTATAGAGAACATTTTCTCTCAATAACGAATATTCTCCAACTCTATATTATTTTTCCTATGGATCTCCCTCACCGACGGACCTCGTGCGCGTGGTGCAGCTTCAAGTAGTGGATAGGGGGTTAATCGCGGACCAAAAGCGACCTTGTCTTCTTTAATACGTAAATGGCTGCAGGGAATGGACTCACTGGTTCTGTTGCACCGATTCACACATACCCTCTGTTTATGAGAATGTATCCATGCATGCGTGTGTGGGTGCGTTCTCGCTTATGCGGATTGTATTTTGAGTCAATTTAGCCAAAAGCATGCAATCAAGTGACAGAGAAATATATGGAAGGTGGTTAGGAGTAGCCTCCAAGAAATAAGCTCCATGTCCACTCCGGGACAGCTACCCGTGAGCATACCCTGCACCCACGTTCAGAGTCCAACAAGCTATACGTGGGTATCAAAATGTAACATGTAGCCTAAACACAGTAAAAGAAACGGGCCCCTTTCCTCTGGCTCCGAAAGAGTCCCCAATTCGGCAGCGTTGGGTAGACGAGTGCTGAGAGGCTGCTAAACTCTCATGGCCAATGGAAACTGCCTGGATCTCAAAGAACTAAGGTGACGATTTGTACCTACAATGCACGTACACTTGCATCCGAGTCTTTGACAGAAGACATGATCATCCAAGCGAGAAGGATAAGGTACGACGTCATCGGCTTGGCCGAGAAGAGAAGACGCCATCCTTTCAACGCCGTCTATGACACCGAAGAAGAACTGTTCCTCGGAACATGTGAAAGTAGAAGAGTCGGCGTTCTCATCAACACGAGTTTGTCCATGAAGATCGATTCACCCTAACAACTAACAACCCGATCAGACGTTTACGATTAAAAAGATGTGAATTAATTTTCTGTGAACTTCGACAATTTTCGTCGTTAACGTGTTGACATCAAACTTTGACTATATGGAGTTGGAGAATTTCAATAAGAAAAACCATACATTCTCCAAGGTTATCATTAGAGATTTTAACGCTGGAATTAGCACTAGAAAAACGTCCGTAAAACGCCACATTAAGAGCCGCGGATTACAATGGAACGAGCGAGATGAGCGGTTCCTCGAGTTCATCGTCACGACGAAGATCGTTCATGGTAATTCCCAATTGCAAAAGCCGCACTCTCAACGCTGGAAGTGGGAGCCTCCCACTGAAGAGTTCCATAACGAAATAGACCACAACATAGTAAATCGAAGGTTTTCCCCAACCCCGGATCTCAGGATGCATATGTCGTACCACCGGTTCTCCCATCCGATATGCGACATGATATTTCGCTGTTGAAGAATCAGATAGCAGCAGTTCCGGACAGAATAAGATCTGAAGATCTGAAAAACCTTTCGCCAGTACTCATGGGACACACTGGCTCGCCTCTTCGCATGTTACCTGTCCTAATGCAAGTCTCCTACTGGGTGGAAAACCAGCATAACCGTACTGTTGTTTAAAAAATATGACCTCATATCAAATATCGACAACTACCTCCCAATTCATTCACACGATAACAAGACTCATCGAGGTAACGCGAAAGTACAAAAGACTGCTCTGTCTCACTTTCATTGATTTAAAGAAGGCTTTTATTTAGATGAGATAGCAACAGTCATGGAAGCCCTGGACAGTCAAGGAATCCCTACTCAGTACATAAAGATTCTTCGTGAGCTCTGTAAAATTTCCACAACCAAGATATCGTCATTATAAAACGATACTAACATGGACGTCAAAAAAGGGGTTAGGCAAGACGATACCATCTCGCGAAAATAATTTACCACCACTTTCGAGAACGTCATACAAACACTGGAATGGGACAACATAGGTGTGAAAATCGATGGTCGGTAGTTACATCATCTTCGCTTTGCTGATGACATCGTTCTTATAACACCAAAGATTAGCCAAGCAGAACGGTATGCTTGCCGAATTTAATAAAGCCTGTGGAAAGATTGGTCTTCGACTAATTAGTACAATAAAGATGTTCATGAAGAACGGAATGGTTTCGTATGCCCCATTCACGCTCAACGGGACGAATACCTCCGAATGATACAGTTACGTCTATCTACGTCGGAATATCAAGATGATGAACGACTTAGCGGCCGAATTGAGCAGGAGGAGGCGAGCAGCTTGGAGAGCTTTCAAGAGCATCGAAGATATAGTGAAGAGAACAAAGAACATCGGACTCCTTGCCCACCTTTTCGACTCCGCGATTGTTCCCACCCTAAAGTATGTTCCAGGAACCCGCCCGCTACATGGGCAGGATGAAAGATCACGTAGCGTTATTGAATACGCAGTCGAAATAACAATACTAGGAGTATCTCGTGTCATACGTTTAAGGAAAGGATTCCGAAGCTCCGACTTACGTCAACGATAAAATGTCACAAAACGTCTCTCTAAAAGAAAAGGTGGGCTAGACACGTAATGCTTATGAATGGCAACCGACAACCGATGAACAAGATCCGTTAGTAAGTAGATTCCTATAGATATCAAACGTCACCTTGCACTTGTATCACCTGTAACACGTTCGATAACGCTAAGTGATCTTTCATGCTACTTACGCAGCGATCAGATTCCTGACGCATGCGTTAGGGCGCGAAGTACCGCTGAGTCGAAAAGGTAGGCACGGAGTCGGGCGTACTTTGTTCTCTTCACTGAATCTTCGATGCTTTTGAAAGCTCTCCAAGCCGCTCGTTTCTTTCTGCTCAGCTATGGAGCTAGGCCGTTCATCATATCGATTCCCCGACCTAGATAGACATAACGATGAGCATTCGGAGATATTTGTCTCGTTGAACGTCAATGGGAAATGCGAATGTTTCCATAGGCTTTATCAAAGTCGGCAAGCATTGGTTCCGCTTGGCTAATATTTGGTGTTATCAGGACGATGTCGTCAGCAAACCGAAGATGGTGTAATTGCCGAGCATCGATTTTCACTCCTATATTATACCATTCCCACGCTAGCATGACGTTCTGGACAGTGGCGGTAAATAATTTTGGCGAGATGGTATCGCCTTGCCTAACTCTACTTTTAACGTCAATGTTAATATCGTGGTGATATTTTGGTTGTGAAATCTCTGTATAGATCAGGAAGAATATTTATACACTGAGTAGAAACTATCAAGGGCTTCCATGACTGCTTCTATCTCAATTCGGTCAAAGGCCTTTCTTAAATCGATGAAAGTGAGACGAAGCGGTCTTTTATACTCTCGCGATACTTCAATTAACCCTGCTTTCGTGTGGATGTGGTCCATCGTACAAAATCCTTTTCGAAACCCTGCTTGATCACGTGGCTGCTCTTAGTCTAGTGTTCTGTCAATCCTGTTCTGCTTTTTCCAGCCTCTGCAGCTTCGACCATTACTGATACTCTTTTGTCTTTAAGATTCTTTTATCGTATGTCTGCATTGTTTTGCAAATCCGGGCGTTAGTTCCCGGTTGCCTGCAGATCGTGCGATTCCACGCTGGCGTATCAGCTCGAGTGTTTCTGGAGACAGACGTCTTTGGGTGACTTTCGAACTCTCAGCTTCCATAGCGCTAACGTGAAGATGTCGAATGAGCCGGTCGTATTTTTCGTCGATGTTATCGACAACGGCATCTCCTCAGCAGACGACTAATGAATTGAATAAGTCCCAGTTTAAGGTGGTTCTAGGACTTCGGTTTTTTAATCTAGCGGTTATTCTCCTTTTGGGGAGAAATAGAAGCTTGCACGAAGGAGAGGGTGGTCTGATCCCGTGTAGAATTTTGAGACAGCAGCAACATCGGTTAGGCAAACCTTCTATTTACTATGATGTGGTCTATTTCGTCATGGCACTCTCCATTAGGAGACTCCCACGTACAGCGTTGAGGGTGGTGCTTCTGGAATTGCGAGTTACCATGGTTGGTCTTGGTCGCCATGACAAACTCAGACAGCCGCTCACCCTGTTCGTTCCATTCTAATCCATGGGTCCCAATGTGACGTTCTTCAGACATTCTTCAAGGTTCAATCTTGGCGCTGAGATTTCCAATGATGACCTTGAAGAATGTGTGGTCTTCTCTGTAGAACTTCTACAAGTCCATATAGAACGCTTCGACTTCTTCTTCGTCATAGTTTGATGTCGGCGTGTAAACGATGAAGATTGTCAAAGCCGGAATTGATCCACGTCTTCTTAATCGTAAACATCCGATTCGGGTTGTAAGTTGTTCGAATGAACCGATGTTCATGGACAAACTCGTATTGAGGAGAACGCCGGCACCGCGGACTCGTCTAGTGTTGCATGTTCCGAGGAACAGTTCTTCTCCGGTGTCATAGACGAAGTTGAATGGGTGGCGTCGTCTCGTCTCGGCCAGGCCGATGACGTCGTTCCATATCGTTCTCACTTGCATGAGCAAGTCTTCAATCGAGGACTCGGATGCAAGTGTACTGTAGGTACAGGTCGTCACCATAGTTTTTCGTGATCCAGGCAACTTCCATAGGCCCTGAGATTTCAGCAGCCTCTCCGTATTCGTCCTACCCAATGCTGCGAAATTGGGGCGCTTTCGGGGTCAGGGGAATGAGGTTCGTTTTTTCGCTGTGTTTAGCATTTTCGTACCCACGTTTAGCTTGCCGGGCTCTGCACTTGGGGCTGAGTATGCTCACGGGTAGCTTGCCAGACTCTCCCAGAGTGGGAATGGAGCTTATTTGTTGGAGGCGACTTCTATCCGCCTCCCATACACTTCTCTGTCACTTGATTGCAGGCTTTTGGCCGAATTGACTCGTAGAATCCAGTCCGCATGAGCGAGCACGCACCCACACATGCATGTATGAATACGCCTAGCAAATACAGAAAGAATGTGCCATATCAGCGATGCAGAAACAGGGAGTCTATCCACTGTATCCAACTGCGTGTCAGCGAAAGAATGGTCGCTTTTGGTCCGCGATCAAGCCCTTAGCCGCCACCTGGGGACGCGTCACGTGGCCTCATGACTAACTTGCTCGAGATCCCTCACATGAGGGGGCCCATGGGATTTCAAACGTACTACGGGAAATCCACCGACAGAGCTGTAAATTTTTGACGAAAAACTCGGAAAAAAGGTATAATGCTCTAGGAGTCCCTGGAGCGAGTAGAACCCACTGGAATACTCTTGCTGGCGACAGGAAATAGTGAAGCGTTTACTGGCACTCGCTCAAGTCCCTCGGCGATTAACGAGAAGACAGGTGATTCAGGTGATATTATTCCTCTATCGAATATTCTCAGCCGAACCTTCATTTGTTATGCACTGCTTAGTCGTCACCATAGATCAGATTTCTCCGTAGAAATCTCCTTTTTTCCTGATTTAAGGATTCGCGGCTAGCGTACTGCGCTTTGACTCAGCCTCTTCAGATTGCACCGTCTGAGAAAAGCTCTGCCATTTTCTCCGCAAGAACACTCATCAGGAACTCTGACTGAACTCTACCTATTGTAGTACAACCATAGGCAGTTTCGTCAGTTAGCTGTAGTTGGTTCTCCCACCGGCTCTTCACCATTCCGTGTATTGTCACACCATTAATGGTGTATTGCCATTTTTGCTATAAACGAATTAAGCATACCACAGCTGCTTCTTATATGACAACTTGTGATTGTGTTCTGTGAGAACAGACGAAATGTCCCGTGTGGCGTATTCACAGAAAGGCGATTTCTCGATTTCAGTTCAGGCTAGCAGTTCTAACAACTAACTTGATGAAACTCTGTGATATAGTGTAAAGCAAACAGACCTCCTTATCGTACGGTCCTCGCAAGGAAAAGAAAAGGCTGAAAATTTTCTATATAATCAATATAATCCGTGAGGAGACCTATTCAAATATTATCTAGGAGCAAATGCGTTATGACAGGTTGGAACACAAGTTTTCTTCTTATTTTTGATCAGTGTCTGTGGTGGGGAACGAACTAGTTGAGAGACAGGCGAAACGAAGGACCCGCATAGTGTGGTGATGAACATGTTACTCCCCGGAAAGGACAATAGCGCGTTCGTTCCCCACCATAGACACCTGCGGTCCGGAGTTTTGCAAATATCTCAGCAACGTTCTAGTTGTATTAGTTCCCAGGATCGACTTTCTATTAACCTCGGTATTGGAATATGAATGCGTCGTTTTCTTGTTCAGCAATAGCGAGATTTTCTAAATGACTGTCTATGTGAAACAACAAATTGCGTAATTTGCCGTTACGGCAGGGACAGTGATTGCTTCAGTTTAGGTATGATATACCTGATCTCTTGTAATAATTGCGGAGATGAATATATTGACGAAACGGGCAGACCTTTGTGTATCCGTATAAAAGAACACCTAGATGGCAAACGAAAACTAAGACGAAGCACCCCACTAGGCACGCATAGGATACAAAAGCATAGCGGAGACGATTTTGAAGTAAAAGTCAATATCCTTGCACAGGAGTCCAAAACACCAGCGCAAAAACTCCTTGAGGCTTTTTGGATCAGTGCCAAAAACCCTACAATGAATAGCAGGGACGAATGCCCGGAGGTCATACGCGACCTGACCCCGTATGTTCGCATCGATTTTTTGATGTGGCATGGTGCAGTCATCAACCATATGCGACTCTAATCAGCTGTTCTAAACTTCCTCATTGGAAGTCACGAAAAAGCGGTGGGTTTTTCGAGAAGTTGTTGATCATGTAATTACCAAAGAGTTTTTCGTCTTTTTGTAAGTGTCATTGAAGCGTTTGGCCTAGTAGATTGTATATCAGTATACCCTTCCAGGCTCTGAAGAAGGCGATACTGCCGAAACATCAGCTAGTCTTGTATTGTATTGTGTTTCTCTATGGAAGTAAATGTATGTTGTGGTTGTATTTAAATAAATCATGTTCTACAGGTATTTACATAGTATGCGCAACAGAAAAAAAACGGCTGCGCCCTGGTCTAAGCTTACCAACAAGAACTGCGCAAGTTTTGAAGATCTGCTTAGGACCCCACCGGTCGATCACGTTTAACCCTTGCACAACGACCCTCCAATTCCTCGTCGTTGCTTACTGGTATGATGCCTAACTTTATGTCTTTACGGATTTGCTTGATTTCTTTATCAATAGGCGATAATTTTTTGATGACTAGACGAATCGAAGAGTTAGGAACACAACATCGTTATAGAAGAAGCTCCACTCCATCGCACTGGCGGTATGCACAATATATGTGGTACTCTTTAGGTGGCACAACTATGCTCTACCAAATGGCCAAAATGCTCTCCACGTTTGGAAATGTTTAGCTGCTTTCTTTACGTTTCTCTTATGTCATAGATTCGTTCTTTTTTCCAAAATATGCTGTAATGAAGATAATGAGATTTTGAGATTCCTAGCATCGAAAGCATCGAAGCGTACGTGCTACTTTACTTGACTCTCGAGTAGCAATTTTCCTCACAGTAACAATTTCCAGTAGAGCTCCAGAACGTTTTGTGGGTTTTCTTCATTAGTGGTTTTGAGGTCTTATACGAAGGATGTGGAGTGGAAAGGCACATGATAAACCCTTTCTGATATTGATTCCATATTGTGGTTGATTAGAAATAACAAATTCGTTTTTCACTGATGATGGAAGAACGCTGTTGTCGCGAAGATAGCGACGGATGTACCTTAAATTATTCTGTTTTAAAACTCTCACATTAGCACAGTCACACATTTATACGAGTTACTTTTTATATACTTAAATGGCGTTTTATTTTTCGCTCCGTCGATTGAAGGTATAGGATACTACTCCTTGTTCAGTTATTCCCCTGAATGGGCATTACATGGAATTTGATATAATCTGCTTCTTCACCGAGAGTTGGAACTTTCTCGAAATTCTGATTTTGGAATTGTAAACAGTCGATTTTATCTGATATCAAAGATTTCGGACGAAACTTGAGGGCTACTTTCTCCGCTTTTACCCACTTCTCCTTTTTTTCAGCAGTGCGTAATTATAGGCCTCTTATGATGATTAGGAAAAGGAATGATTTTTGATTCTAAGCTATGTAATTTCAGCAGTGACCCCGCGCCGTGCTCACAAAACCTCTCTTCTTTTTGGGGTTGGGAAATTGATAATAGACTTGTCTGGGAGCAGTTAACTCCCTTCAATTCATGTGAAAACGTTCTAGCTCGGCTATCCCAGGAGTCCACGAGAATCAACTCAACCAGAATTCAACGGTATTTGTGAGGAAGACGGCTCAAGCACCAGCCGAACCAACACAAAGAAAGTTGTAGGACCTTCGTTGATGATGGGTGCGAGAAAACGAATCGAATTCAAGAAGAAGTGTTTGGAACAGCATAGTAAACGTGAAAATGGATCATTTGGAAAAAAGATATCTAATACTACCAACTGAACTGACCATTCCAAAAGCTAGCATTAGACGTAAAAGACGCATTGCTGTGGCAAAAGAAAGAACGGTAAAATTAGGTGAGCAATAATCCACAAATTTAAATGAAATGAATATGCCATAGATAACGAACGGAGAATTTAATGACTCCTTAGTGCCTATTGAATGAATTAATACTTCTCCTTCCCTCACGAAGTGTCAAGAAAAGATATCACTGCCTATCAGCGACAATAAAGGTAAGGCAGCTAGTTCATAAACGTTTATAAATAACTAACACTAGAATCGCTCGAAATGGAAGCAATCTCCATAAGTGCCTGTTCGAGTTCATCCATATCAAGTTGGGTGGTGTTTATCACCTCGGGCACTTCGATAGTGTCTGGAACACAGAATTATCTCTACTTCTTATTTTTTCCTGATTCCTCTCAAAAAGGTTATTCATTTTTTTTCCCTAACCGGGTTTGACTAAATAACCGTAGTAAAGATCACGAGTTGAACATTGGAACTCAATCAACAACATGGGATAAAAGATTAAAGATTGCAACTCGATCAGAAGAAGATTTCATTATTCTAACCAAGGATGGTGATAGTAACGAAGTGAATTTAGCTGTGGTCATTGGTGGTCATGGTATATAATATAGCATGAAATAAAATATATTGCTGATAGCACCGCCAGAATGAAAAAAAATGGACTGAGAGAAAGGCGAAGTAAGATCATTGGTTGATGTTGTGCATAGCACGTGAGCCTCTGGAAAGGGTAATCGCATGCTCGAAGACCAGCTGAGGTCTAGAGTTTTGCTCATACTATAAAAACTTGTAATAGTTCCTAGGATCGACTTTCTATTAACCTCGGCATTGGAATATGAATGCGTTGTTTTCTTCTTCAGCAATAGCGAGGTTTTTTAAATGACCGTCTATGTGAAACAACAAATTGCGTAATTTGCCCTTACGGCAGGGACGGTGATTGCATGAGTTCAGACGATATACCTGATCTCTTGTAATAATTGCGGAGATGAATATATTGGCGAAACAGGCAGACCTTTGTGTATCCGTATAAAAGAACGCCTAGATGGCAAACGAAAACTAAGATGAGGCACCCCACTGCGCACGCATAAGATACAAAAGCATAGCGGAGACGATTTTGAAGTAAAAGTCAATATCCTTGCACAGGAGACTAAAACACCAGCGCGAAAACTTCTCGAGGCCTTTTCGATAAATGCCAAAAACCCTACAATGAATAGCAGGGATGAATGCCAGGAGGTCATACGCGACCTGATCCCGTATGTTCGCATCAATTTTTGATGTGGGATGGTGCAGTCGTCAACCACATGCGACTGTAATCAGCTGTTCTAAACTTCCTCATTGGAAGTCACGAAAAAGCGGTGGGTTTTTCGAGAAGCTGTTGATCATGTAATTGCCATAGAATTTTTCGTCTTTTTGTAAGTGTTATTGAAGCGTTTGGCTTAGTAGTTCTGTATATCAGTATACCCTTCCAGACTCCGAAAAAGGCGATACTGTCGAAACGTCAGTTGTATTCTATTGTGTTTCTCTATGGAAGCAAATGTGTGCTGCTTAAAAACCTCGCGATTGCCGAACAAGAAAGCGACGCATTTATAAAAACTTCTTCATTGTACTTAAGATGATCAAGCAGAACAAGAACAACCAGAGCAGAACAAGCACAGCCTTCCCGGTGAACATTTGGTTAGGCATCAACAGTGGATCGAATTGTTTTGGAAACAGTGAAGGACTCTTTAGTTGTGGGGTTTCTAAAGGATTTTTGAAAGAGCAAATACCTCACGCCGGCAAAAAGCCGAATGAGAAGAAGACTAACGTTTCATAAGCTTACAATAGGAGTTGATTTATCCTTAAAATTAATCGTACTGTGAATTAGAAAATGTGAAAAATAGCTATGTAGTCAGGATAAAAGCCACAGAACCACAAAACCACACCAATTTACAGACCTTTGCTTAGTCGTTTCCTGATTTTAGATGGAATGTTGATTATCTGGAGCTCAGGACATATGACTTCCGCTTTCCTGCTTCAATGCTAATATTTCGAACACGAAATTAACAAATAAACAAGTGGGACTCCGTTCAACAGGATCCGATGGTGCTAGCTGCTGTTACGCTCGCGTTTGGAACTCCCATATTGGCATCGGCAATTTTTAGAATATAAACTCTGTTTTAAACTAAGAGATTTTATGTTTAAACATATTCAAAATTGGAAACATTCACGTTATAGAACCACCCATTTAATTACTTCCTCATATCGTTGATTTACCCTTGAAATGCAGCCTGTCCGGCTTTTTTTCTCATTATTCTTTCCCTTCTCCTTCTCTTGCTTCGAATAGCGCCCAACACTTCCTCTGCGCTACCCTTTTTACTGATGAACTCGAATCTTATAGCTATCTCATAAGAAATGAGTCTCGAGAAGTGAAAAACGCATCTTACCCATTCCTTCACGGATGAGTTCGGTGTTGCGTACTTTCTGGTCTTGATAGGATGATCTTATTTTGTTATCGGACGTTTTTCCGTATACCTACAAAAATTGTGATATCGTGTAGTACTCACGACCTTAACACTCGAATCACCTTTACGATGCTGTGACTGTCTCTGGGTTGTTTCGCCTGTTTACTAGAAAGACGCGATAATCTCCACTTGCGTTTGTCTACAGCAAGGGTGCCGACCTTCAATGAGTAAATTAGGTAAAACAATTTCAGCAGAATAAATTTAATAAAATACTTTATCATTATTCTTCAAAAGAACAGCAACGAGTGGTACAGGTGAAACCTCACCGTCGTTGAATACTTGGACTAACCATCTTCACTGGTTGCACGAGCCTCAGCACAATTTCCTTTTTCTGGGAGTTTTCATGGTTCACCCATTGTGGTTCTCTGGAGTCTAGAGATCAGCTTTGCCAAAGTCCGCCCCAGGTCGTCACCACCACGTGTAGTCGCGCCCTTGTGGATCAGAGGGAGATTTGTTACCAGACGACTAATTTGAAACCAGGGCGGTGGTGAATCCTGGTATTGGTTTACTCTTAGCTAGGCTTCCTGATGGAAACGCCGGACTCCTTCTCAGCTTGGGAGACCTTACCAGGAGGTTGAATTCCTCTGCTGTACACCGGACTGCGACACCCAGAAACACCTCCCAACCACGACGAGGCGGTAAGTCGTTGGGAGGATAACCTCACCAATGCGAATTCATTTGAAACTCGGTGGTAGTAATCCAGTTACTGATAGAAGAAAAATGAACGCACTTCGACTAACTGAGTTAAATGGACAGTGCTGAGATATTCGCATTCGCAAAATTTGCACCACAAGCCAGATCAAACCACTACTACCCTTTCCGGGAGCTAGCGTATTATACGCTGCACCACGGAACCCCGTGCTGTGCGTTTCTCTCAGCTATTGGGTTGTATCGTATAAGATGTCCGATTTTAAAAAACTAAAAAACTTTGAATAACCATAACTTTTTTCCGTTAGAATCAGCACGTTCTTTTCAACAAGATGCCTGCTTCTATTGTTTAAAATTCTGAAGTTCTGAAAGCGATAAATTCGTGGAAGGCAATTGTGTTTTCTTGCGTAATCGTGGTAGGTGAAGCATTTCTCGTGCAGAAAGTTGTCAAGGTGTTCGAAGAAGTGATAGTCGGTAGGCGAAGGGTCTGATGAATATGGCGGATGAGGCAAACCTCAGCCCAACACGTTCAACTTTTGCAGCGTTCGTTCCGCAACATGAAGCCGGGTGCTGTCGTGAAGAAGGACTGGTCCTTTTCTCTTGACAAATGACGGTCGTTGTTGTTGAAGTTTACTGTGCGGTTCGTCGATTTGCTAGCAATACTTCTCTGTTTGCTTCCATTAGTAACTTCAGTTCGTCGTCGTCAAGTCCATTGGGACGCACGCGGCCTTCTTTAACTTCGAGGTCGAAATCACCAGATCGGTATTGCCGGAAACATGTTCGCACTGTTGATTCACCAACTACGTTCACTTCAAGCTTGATGATATTTCGAGCACCTGCTGCCGCATTATGTCCACTCCTCCACTCGTGGAAAAAAACAACGCGAATATCACTTTTATTCATAATAAAGTTAAAGCCTGTAAAATGTTAACATAATAAATTTTGAGAAAGACGAATACTAGGCTTTATTAAACATATATAGAGAACAAAATTTTTACTTGAAAAAGCCACACGGAAAATTAAACAGTAGAATCGGAGATTTCACATGTACCATCCTAACAGTTTTCTACCTAACGCTGCCATCAGCAATCACCTACCAACGGGACTGATCTGTGGAACACAAATCAGCATTAAACCCGAATAGAGTGCGACTTTAATCGAAATCACAATGCTAACCTTTTATGTTCTGCGCCAAACTCAGTTTGACTGGGTTTAGTGCCAATTTGTGCTCCCCAGATCGACCCCGCTGACGGGTGACTGCTGATAGCATTGTTAGGTAGAGAATTAGGTGAGAGAAATGCAGAGCTAAGGCCTCCGTGGTGCAGTGTGTAATACGCGAGCTACCGGAAAGGGTAATCGTGGTTCTATCTGCTCTGGGGTTAAAATTTTGCGAATATCTCATTGTTGTGGTTGTGTTTCACATCATACGCTGCCGTGAAAAATTGTAGTAGGCAGAACCCAGTTATAGGAACCATGAATACCACGTAAACATGGATTCCTTAATACAGCTAGTCCAATCGAATAAAGAGTCATGGAAGTAGTGTGCTCCTTAATGATCCTGACCCCAGAGGGATCATGTAGACTTGTTGGGTCTTTGGACATTAGAGGTGTGTTGATGAATGTCAAAATCGTAAAGAGGAAAAAGAATATGCAGCTATAATTGGAAACACCGTACTTTCATCGATGATTGTGGAAAGGAGAAAGGATAGATTAAAGGTGAAGAACCATAATTTCGACATATAGGTCATTTTAACATTAGTCGCTAGCATACCTTTCCATTTGTTGACAGCCGAAGCATAGAATTCAACTCCTTCATGACAGCAACAGGATCAAGAAACACTGAAAACTTTTGTGTATTCACAATTAGCAAATAATGCGTGACGATTTAGAAAAGCAGGCCATCAAATGTGGACCAATAAACAATGGAAACGTTCCAGATAATAAATATATGCGATATCGAACTACTCGTGATATTTCAAACTGGAATAACGATCGTAGTGTCCGTATTGACAGTGAGAAGAAAAATAGTAATTAACGTTGACAAGAGTGAAAAACTACTATAATAATGATGGTAATGGTAGAAAACACTCATATATGCTTCCGCTTCCCCAGAGTCCACTACGCATTCAGTTTCGCCCCATGAAGATCAGGAAGCACAGCACAAATATTCAGCAATTAATCGAAAATTAATGTTAACAATAATGTTAAAGTTAATTAATTAATTAATTTAATTAACGTTAAATGTGTTAATATTCCTCACAAAAATAGTTAATGTACGCGCTATCCTGCCTTATTTCCCCATTGGCATATAAATACGTTAAAAGTTAGCTAGTTACTCTTATATGGCATATCTACTATTTCACAATTTGCTTATACAACATTTTTTCCCACAAAAATTGCTGGTAATATTGGATCAGGAGAGAAGCGGTTGTCTGGGGATGACTGCTCTTTCTTAGATCAAACGAGCGCATAGAGTACTACATAAAGGATAAAAGGGTAAAATTCTCGGTGTTGATCAATCTCTGAGGCCATGCATTCGACTTCATTAAACATCGTTGAAGGATTGAATGCATATCTGGCTTTTACAATGATTTATTGTGGCCTACCGATGTATCGAACCAGTGCTGCTATCCTCCCAGACAAGTCTGGTAGCAATTTGCCAACACCGAAGGGATGGAAGGCTTGGTAAGCCTCGGACGCAGGGATCTATTCCATTTGTATTTCACGACGCCTCCGATCACTGCGCTTCATGCTCCCATTAAGTGTTATACACGCGCTGGAAAACTGTAAAACATTTCCAGGTTTTTGCCAGCTTTGTGAAGGAAAGCGGACATACAAGAGAGAACATACAACAATGAAATGTAAGTGATCTTCCAGTAACTCTATTTGTTCAGCAATAAAACGTAAACCGTCATACTTTACACAGACCGCGCACTTTTGCATTTTCCTAGAATTCGTTTGCCTTCAAGTGGCAACATTCAGATAGGTGGGTATTTGTATGCGACTGGGCACGAAACGGCTGTCTCCATTCCATCATCTTGAAGTGCTTGCATGAGATCCGCTGCAATAAAGTGGTGGGATGGTTTATACAGGAGTTGACCAACACCAGGAGAGTTGCTTGTGTGGCAACGTATAGTTGCTTAGCTCTCGTAAAGGTATTCTAAAACGGCATGTTGATGGAGAACGACGCCATCGCATTCAAGCAGGCCGACGTGCACCACGTCTTGTAGTTTTCGCTAGAAAACGGCGGCCACTTCTACCGACAAACTTACGCTAACATAACACGCCTGACCCGCTTCCCATCCCACACTTGCAAGATTAGTTTGTTCAGGTGGAGAAGCATGATAATGAACAATTCTACTCAGATCAGCTCAGTAAACCAGGCGCTGCTCTATAAAAAGATGGGACAAGCTCAACGCTTTGTCTTTCAGGACTACATTCAATCAAATGCGACTCAGGTCGTCCGCTGCTTACGGTTCCACATAAATCGAACCTTTTGTCGTCTCATTCTAATCTTTTCGCAGTTATGAAATTCTTTTGCAGCAAGCATTTCTTCAATTTTGGCGTCTCAAACCAACACATGAACACTCCTTCTACTCGTTTTTCCTCTAGTTTTGTTTGAAGCTCTAGTTGACACTAGCCAGTCTATTTTAGGGTTGGAGAATTTGATCGACCCACGTTGTGAGAATAACACCGACTGAAACAAAAGCTTGTTTAAATAAAATGTGCGAAACTGCTACTTCAGTTTACAGCACACCTAATATCTTGAGATCTAATATTTACTCGACGTTAAAATATAGATTTCAGGCGCCAAGTTTACAAAAATACACCACTTTACTAAAAGATACATTACCTTTCCTTCCAGGTAATGCTTCTTTTTGAGATGTATGGTAAACAACTGGTAACCAAACGATTGGTATTGAAGATGGCGGCGTATCGCTGTTGACTGAAGCAGTCTTATTGAGATAGGGGTGCGGGTGCCGCAAACGAGTCCCTACAATTATCGACTGGGTCGCTTGCTTAGGAATTAGATTCGCCGAGGAATCACTGCGTGAGATGGTCGTCGAAACAGTAGTAGTGGAGGGGAACTGATCGGCCAGGGAAGTTTTGGCCAATGACATCAGCAAAGCATGCCGACCGGTAAGCTTCAGAACGGAATAATGACGTCCAGATTTTAGTCCACCGTCTTTTATCTGAAAAAAGCTTTAACACTAATCACCTGTATATAGTTATTTATAGAAAAGTGACTTTTGTAATGATGGAATTTCGACAAATTCAATGGCGAAGTGCACAATTTGTTCAAGAAATAAAATGTCTCTAGAGGAATACTACGATCTTCTGGTGCTGCAGAGAGTAGTGCTGTCGTTGGAACTGACTCAAACAACAACGAAGAAGTGTGCCAAATGCGTGGAATAATTTTATCTTAAACGCATGTATAGCGGGAAAAGTTGAAGCAGCTTTGAATTTTGAAGACGGCGACTTTCGTAGACAATAGGCTGTTGTTTTTATACAAAGGCTTTTTATCTCATAGCTGTAAAATTTTCAAACCTTAAACATTTTTCGGCCCAGATGACTGAACTTCACTCTGAAAGGACCTCTTGTCGTCTCCGGTTCTGGCTCCCTTTTTTTAAGGTAGCCGAGCTTCGGTGTCCACCGCAATGTTTTCGGTGTATTTGCAACCCATTTAATCCATAAACGCTTAGTCGCTTGATGACTTCCTTGGCTATTTGGAGTTGCTGACTGTCTCGTGATATTTATGGACGAAGTGAATGTTTCAGAGTTATTTGTAGCCTCATCAGCTCCAGTATTGGGCCCAATAGTGACCTTTGAAACAAGACTACGTTCGTTGAAATTTAGGAAATTCAAGTGCTGGGTGTGAATTTCTGGAACCAAGACAGGTGCTGTGGATGTCATCTGGAGGTAACGTGGAGAACTTAGAACAGACTTCACTAACGACGGCTTTCCTTGAAGTTTGTTTCCTGGGAATAAGTCCTCTTTGGAAAATTGTTTTTCATCATGTGTTAAAAGCTCCTTATCGTTTTCCGATTTTAAAAGTTTCGGTCGCACGTTTTCAGTATTTTTCATTGAAATTAAGGCTTGAGTATTAGGTCCAAAGAATGACGGCGAAATCGATAGATCCACCAAAGATTGCGATGATGATCGCAGTGATGTATCCAAAGACTTCTGAATGGTACTGCTAGTTGCGAATGAGGTAAAAGGTGACGAAATAATTTTAGAAACAGATTTTTCGGACGAATTGTTTGTGCTGTTCAAGAGAATGGCGTCACCTTCGAATAGCGAGTTGCTAGAACTAGCAGTGGTAGCAAGGAAGTTCAGCGGACCTGCAGCTGCAGTTGATATGCTAGAAGCACCAAGCACTGGGAGAAGCTTTATACGAGAAGGAGCTGTTGAGTTCGATGTAAATGGTTCCCCAAAAGACACGGTGTGCTGCGACATTGCATCAGAGTTGAAAGATCGTTGTTCCATTCCAAAACTTGCCGCTGGCATTGTCGTCTGAACCACAGGAACTAAAGTGGGAGTTGTAGGAAACTTGACAGTGGTTGTAGATGACAAAGTCGATGTCTCAATAGTGCGACTGGTACTCAGTGTGTAGGAAGTGGAAGTAGATCCATATTTTTCCCACTTCACAGAAGTAACTTTGCTTTTGAAGCCCTTCGGAGCTCCGATGATCTTTACGAAATGTCGAACAATAGCTCGAGATTGCTTATCAAAATTATCATTTAAGGGAAATGCAGTAGATTGATTCGAGCTGATTGTCCAGTTAACATCATTAGAAGTGGGCAGTAAAGAAACTCCAGAGTCCTTTTCAAAACCGAGGTGCTTTGAGTCCCTCGTGATGTCTTTGAACGTGGCCCGATTACTAAATTCTTCAAAAGCCTTATGTGCTGTTGGAAATGGATATGAGGAAGCAAAAGGATGGGTTGCAGTATTTGGAGTAGTTGACAGCTCCGTGATCACATCAGTCACCGCTCCGTTCTTCTTGGACGAGGTAACGCTGAAAACTATAATTACTACCATTACAAATTGTGAGGAAACCAACACACGAGGAATGTAAAAAGACAGAAGAAAGGGTACTCATCTCAGCTGGGAAGAATGGAAGGATTGTGGATGGGGTACCCTTCTTCGGTGTTCACTATTCGAAACGCTCGAAAGTAGTCTTTTTGAAAACTAGCGGTAATTTCTTCACTATCAAATTATTTTAGAAGTTTAAAATTTCGTAGATTTATGAAAGAGACCGTCCATTTCCCATTCTTTCAGCTTCAAATTTGTTAACTTTGTAGAAAATTGGGAACGAAACCTAAATTTCTAAAATCCCCCGAAATTTTGGCTCAAGTGCTGAAGCCGCAAACACCAATGGTACATTCTAGAACAATATCGCGTTATACTCGACGAAAATCCCGCTTGTTAAGTCGATTTCTTACTAGAAATGCCAGTATTGACGCCAGAATATTGGAAATAAATTCTCATGAGCGACTTTCTACTAATCCCGGCAATGATAAAATAACTCTTTATATGAATGTGTCATTTTCTTGTTCAGCAATCGCGAGGTTTTTAAACAGCATACATTTACTTTCATAAAAAAACACAATACAATACAACGCTAGCTGACGTTTCGGCAGTATCGCCTTCTTCAGAGCCGCTTTTTGCGTGACTTCCAATGAGGAAGTTTAGAACAGCTGATTATAGTCGCATGTGGTTGACGACTCTGAACAAGATTGCTGACCCTGATTGCTGAACAAGAAAACGACACATTCATATTCCAATGCCGAGGTTAATAGAAAGTCAATCCTGGCAACTAACTCTTTATATTCTTGTTGAGCAAACATGAGGTGTTATTTTATTTCTTCACTAGGATGGAGCTCATGTTTCAGTGAATTTCGCCATGTTCAGAGCCTGGAAAGGTCAAATTGGCGGCAATCTACCCAGATAATTGGCGAAAATACGTTTTTTGGGCTGCGGGAATTTCAGAAATCGGAAGTCCACCTTATTGGAGGACGGAACTCGTATCTTGAAGAAAATTCCGGAGCCTGTGACAATTTTATTCCAATTAGTAGATAGCACATGAGCCTCCGGATTGGATACTTGGCGGGTTTTATGCCAAACCAGGGTTTCGACTTTGCTCATTTCCCACCATTTCAAATAACAGAGTTTATTAGAAGGTGAAATATAATGGTTTAAATTTAAAGGCGGCCATTAATAATGCATTGTACTCAATAAGTGTTGACTGTTAAGTGTTGCATATTAGACCTTAATAAAATGAATCATCAATGCTGTGGTCGAAAATGAATAATATTGCAAATATCACTTTAATGGTGCCGAGATATTTGCAAAACTCCGGACCGCAGGTGTCTGCGGTGGGGAACGAATGCGCTATTGTCCTTTCCGGGGAGTGACGTGTTCACCACAACACCATGCGGGTTCTTCGTTTCACCCGTCTCTCAGCTAGTTCTATCGATTGCCATCGGCAATCACCCGTCAGCGGGATTGATCTGAGGAGCCCAAATGGGCAACGAACCCAGTTAAGCTGAGGCTGCAGTTATAATCACAATTTTAACTTATTATTTACTGCCTACTCTTTTTAACGGCAGAAATTCCCAGATTAATCCTGCTGACGGCTGATTGCTGATAGCAAAAGATCGATAGAACTAGCTGAGAGACAGGCGGAACGAAGGGCCCACATGGTGTGGTGGTGAACTCGTTATTCCCCAGAAAGGGCAATAGCGCGTTCGTTCCCCATCGCAGACACCTGCGGTCCGGAGTTTTGCAAATATCTCAGCATCATTAAAGTTATATTTCGCAATAGTACCCTGCCGTTTAAAAGACTAGGTAATAATAAGTTAAAATTGTGATTTCAAATATCTTCTCACGATGCTAGAACATTTGGGAATGATTTCACTTAAGCAACATCTCATTTACGTTAGAAAAACAACCCATCACATCTACTTCTATTTCCTATTTTCATTCACACATTTAGGGTACGGGAAGCAAAGTGGTAGTGATAGCGATCATCACGAGCACGCTGATGGTTCGATGTCTATCGTATTTATCATGTCATTATGAACACGTTCTCTCTTATGCATTCTTAAAGAGATAGGAAGATCGTCTGTAAGTATTGGCTAACTATTGACATATTTCGTAAATGCCACTGATATAATGCGTGACCTCTTAGTGAGGAATCGAAATCGCGGGTTTTAAAGGTTTCCTGTGGAATTTCACAAGTTTAAAACTGTTTTTCAGACCATTATTTTAAGACGAAGCTTTCTTATTATTTGGTTGTCGGTTTCAGTAAAGTTGCAAAAAATTTCACTCACATTTCGTGAAATCTCATGAGCTCAAAACCTGGCTTAGTGATGTCGAGTATATCCTAAAAAACCATCAGACGTTACTTTGTTAAAAATTTTGGGAAAAAATACTACCATTTAATATTACTACTAATTATATTGTCAAATGGTGCAACATATCCATGCGTTAGTTCGAACTCGCTTCAAATCCACTAAGCCTCTGCTGTTCGGGTCAACTCCCATGCAATCCTGAGATAACCGTGCTAGGGCGTGGATTGGAGGGATTGATTTTGTCTCAGGCAAGTCTAGCACCTAGTTTTCTATCCCATGGAGATCACAAGTTTAATGTCTGAAGCAGCACAGGCTGGAAAAACGACTCGCAAAGCCAAGTCGGCAGAAAATTTCCAATCACAAGACTAGAATGATCGCATTCCGACATTAAGACTAAGCAGTCATGGTTCCAGTAAAGCTACGGAACAAATCATCCACGACGACTTCTCCGATCTTTCCAACGGTCATTTCGTTCCACCTCATTATGAAAGCAACGATAACGGTTATGTTGTTTCACCTGACTCTCCTTTCGAAATTCGTTGTGGTATTTCGTCGGTGAAGAACAGCACAACACCTGGTCCAGAAAGGATAAAACCTGAGTACCTGAAGAACGTTCCTTCAGTCCACATCAACAGACTGGTTCAGCCCAAGCGGTCAGAATGCAAAACTCGTAGCCAAAGAAAGACCAGTAAGACGTGTTGTTGTCCAAAAAAGAAGATATTCACGACATCGGCTACTACCGCCTAATCTTTCTGTTGAATACTCGTTATAAATCCTTTACTCAAGTCATCCTAAGCAGGGTTAATAGAATACTAGACGAAGGACAGCTATGTGAGCAAGTAAGGTTTGGAAAAAGATTCAGCACAGTGAACCAACATCCACACGATAACTCACTGAAGTATCGCGAGAGTACAAAAGGCCGCTCCGTCTCACTTTCATCGGTTTAAAGAAAGCTTTTGTATCATTTTTATTTATATGACCTTATAAACTGATCTTCTTAACCTGATACGAGGTTGGTATAGGTCTTCGTTGTCGTTGTTGCTGGTGTTTTTGGTCTATGGCTGACGTTCCGGCGATTTTACCTTCCTCAGAGCCGTGCTTTTACGAGTGGGACTCAGCGAGTTCGATTTCAAGAATGTCGAGGGTGTAGTGAAGGAGACTAAGAACATGGTGCTCCATCCCCGCCTTTTCGAGTCCAAGACTCTTCTTCCCTTAACCAACACTTCAAACTTATTCGCCAGCAGACTAGTAAACCGGATAATTGATAACTCCAAGATACCGGACGCGCAATCAAGAAGGCGATGCCGGTAGTATTTCGTACTATGCAATAGAGAGATAGAGACAGGGAGAAAGAGGGGGAGAGAGAGAGAATCCAGTGTTCCAGCCAACGTCAGACAGAACAGACACGTTGACAACAAAATGTCGCAAGTAAGCTAACCGGCACCTATGCTACGTCTGAACTACAACTAATGGACAAGAGCTGTTAGTGTGACTGGATTCCTCGGTAGGTTAAAAACACGGAGGGAAGACTGTCGACCTGATGTTCAAAGTCCTTCGCGAAAGCCGTAGAAAAAGCGTACGATTCTGAACCACTCCATAGAGCGAGCAGAACCACTGCGCCGCGCTAGCATTCAATAAGGTGCAATGGAACGCTTATTGACACCCGCTCGAGTCAAATGACGACCAACAGAAAAAGAAGTGGCGGAGTTGATATGTGATACTAGTACTATTTTTGCTTTCAGTTTAACAGTAGGAGATCTCGCAGGTAGCTTTCGGTATCAGTGGAAAATAGTCGAAAAAAGAACAGGAAAAACTCGCCGTTCCATTGCCCATAAGCTCCACGAATTTTTCGTCTGTGATAATTGCATCTGAAAACAGTCAACAGTCTGCTATACAAAAAAAGAATAACTCAAGCTAACCTGTGGTTCCAATTGTTTTTGTGGATTTAGATGTTTGTTCGTCGTTAATCGATTTGTCCCTCTATAACACGATTTAATTGAAGAGTGTTTAAAAATGCCTTCCGCATGCAACGTAGAAGACAAAAACAATTAATTCCAATAACAGTAAATGTCTTAAGACAGTCATAAATTCTTTCAGACGGCACTAATATATGCAAACGTAATAGATGTGTCAAAAAATAAGTTACTATCGGTAACTGCTATTGGACAGCCTCGAAATAGTCTAGCACCTCACTGAGGAGTACTTCTGGGTCACCGACAGCAACGTAAAGCGAAATTCTTTCTTAGAGAGTTGGATATTTCAATTTAGAAGACCAGTTAAGAGTAGACCTACTTGACGTATTACTACGGTAATACCAGAAACCAGATTGTAAACCCCTTTACGAAATACAGGCATCATTTATCATCGACCTAGTATGTAACAAAACTATAGTGATCTCGGTAACACAGTTAAAATATGACCCTGATAGGAAAGTGAGTGCTGCTCATTTAGAGAGGCCGATAGGGGATATATTATAAGAGTCACTTAAATATGAAAGAAAAAGGCGCAGAAAAGCAATAAAGGGAAAATAACGAAAGAAATCACTTCTGTGTAAATGTTATTATCATGTTCGCCGGCCTCTTCATCTCCATTGCAAAGAAGAATCAGCGAGCCTGAAAAATAAGTATTCCAATGAGTTCAGTAAACAGTAAGGTGCTGTCCCTAGAAAAGTAACTACTCGCAAAC